GTTCCCGAGTAATTTTTGGCTCCAGGCATTTGGCTGGCCACGAGCACTCGAGGGTCCATTTTTTGATCCGGGTTTGACTGGGGCTTAGGGTGGCTTCAGAGAAGCCATTTAGCAAGGCCAGACAAGGAAAAACGCGCTGTTCCCGAGTAATTTTTGGCTCCAGGCATTTGGCTGGCCACGAGCACTCGAGGGTCCGTTTTTTGATCCGGGTTTGACTGGGCTTCATTTTTGGCTTCAACCACGATTTAGCAAGGCCAGACAAAGAAAAACGCGCTGTTCCCGAGTAATTTTTGGCTCCAAGGCCTTTGGCTGGCCACGAGCACTCGAGGGTCCATTTTTTGATCCGGGTTTGACTGGGGCTTAGGGTGGCTTACCCTCTCCTGGGCTACCCCCACAAGAAGGCCAGAATTTTAGAAAATGAGGGGTAATTTCCGCTATATAAAATCTATTCAAAATTAATTGGGAATCGAGCCATTTTTCCCGAATCCTGGGGTACCCCCCACGGAGCCTCCCTGGGACCTTCAAAAAAGCTTTCAGCCTCCTTCAGACCTTCGAAAGAGCTTCAGAGAGGCCACGCAAAGAGAAACGCACTGTTTTGGAGTAATTTTTGGCTTCATTTTTGGCTTCAACCACGATTTAGCAAGGCCAGACAAAGAAAAACGCGCTGTTCCCGAGTAATTTTTGGCTCCAAGGCCTTTGGCTGGCCACGAGCACTCGAGGGTCTATTTTCTGATCCGGGTTTGACAAGGCAGAGGGGAGCTCACCTTCTCCTGGGCTACTGACAAGAAGGCCAGAATTTTAGAAAATCAGGGGGTAATTTCCGCTATTTAAAATCTATTTAAAATTAACTAGGAATCGAGCCATTTTTCCCGAATCCTGGGGTACCCCTCACGGAGCCTCCTTGGGATCTCGAAAAAGCTTTCAGCCTCCTTCAGACCTTCGAAAGAGCTTTTCAGACCTTCGAAAGAGCTTCAGACAAGCCACACAAAGAGAAACGCACTGTTTTGGAGTAATTTTTGGCTTCCACCACGGTTTAGCAAGGCCAGACAAAGAAAAACGCGCTGTTCCCGAGTAATTTTTGGCTCCAAGGCCTTTGGCTGGCCACGAGCACTCGAGGGTCCATTTTCTGATCCGGGTTTGATGACCTGGGTTTAGGGCTAACAATAATACTTGTATTAATACTGACAGTACTGTCTATAGAAATATTAAAGAATATTTGTATACAGACATGCACTTACCTGTAAATGGCTGTAATTATATTCTATAATTACCATTTACCTCTAGGTAAGACTTAGAAGGTCATTTGTTTACATTCCCGTCAAGGTGTGTTACGCTCCTGTACGTGAGAAGGCTTAGCTGAGCACTCAGGCTTAAGCTTAAGAGTTTAGGGTTTAGGGTTTAGGGTTTAGGGTTTAGGGTTTAGGGTTTAGGGTTTAGGGTTTAGGGTTTAGGGTTTAGGGTTTAGGGTTTAAGGTTTAAGGTTAAGGGTTTAAGGGTTTAGGGGTTTAGGGTTTAGGGTTTAGGGTTTAGGGTTTAGGGTTCAGCATCTCAAGTTCGAGCATTTACTAGGCCAGCAGTGTATCTAGACAACGGAAAAAACCCACCCGCCCAAAGAATCCCAGAACATTAAGAAAATAGAAGGTTACTTATTTTCTCTTCGGATGCACCAATCACGCCGTAGTACCAAGCACTTAACACAAGCCACACCCGGCCTTGAGGCCTTGAAACCCTAAACACCAGGCCTTGAGGCCCTGAAACCCTAAACACTAGGCCTTGAGACCCTGAAACCCTGAAACCTAAATACTAGGCCGTGAGGCCGTGAAACCCTAAACAGCAGGCCTTGAGGCCCTGAAACCCTAAACACCAGGCCGTGAGGCCTTGAAACCCCAACCATTAGGCCCGGAAATCCTAAACACCTTTGGACGAAACGACCTTGCCCAGTAAAAAATGACCTAGCCCAGTAAAAAAATGACCTAGCCCAGTAAAAAATGACCTTGCCAGTAAAAAAATGACCTTGCCCAGCAAAAAAATGACCTTGCCCAGTAAAAAATGACCTTGCCCAGTAAAAAGTGACCTTGCCCAGTAAAAAAATGACCTTGCCCAGTAAAAAAATGACCTTGCCCAGTAAAAAAATGACCTTGCCCAGTAAAAAAATGACCTTGCCCAGTAAAAAAATGACCTTGCCCAGTAAAAAAATGACCTTGCCCAGTAAAAAATGACCTTGCCCAGTTAAAAATTGACCTTGCCCAGTAATGACCTTGCCCAGTAAGAAAATGACCTTGCCCAGTAAAAAAAATGACCTTGCCCAGTAAGAAAATGACCTTGCCCAGTAAAAAAATGACCTTGCCCAGTAAAAAAATGACCTTGCCCAATAAAAAAAATGACCTTGCCCAGTAAAAAGTGACCTTGCCCAGTAAAAAAATGACCTTGCCCAGTAATGACCTTGCCCAGTAAAAAAATGACCTTGCCCAGTAAAAAAATGACCTTGCCCAGTAAAAAAATGACCTTGCCCAGTAAAAAAATGACCTTGCCCAGTAAAAAAATGACCTTGCCCAGTAAAAAAATGACCTTGCCCAGTAAAAAATGACCTTGCCCAGTAAAAAAATGACCTTGCCCAGTAAAAAATGACCTTGCCCAGTAAAAAAATGACCTTGCCCAGTAATGACCTTGCCCAGTAAGAAAATGACCTTGCCCAGTAAAAAAATGACCTTGCCCAGTAAGAAAATGACCTTGCCCAGTAAAAAAATGACCTTGCCCAGTAAAAAAATGACCTTGCCCAGTAAAAAAATGACCTTGCCCAGTAAAAAAATGACCTTGCCCAGTAAAAAAATGACCTTGCCCAGTAAAAAATGACCTTGCCCAGTAAAAAATGACCTTGCCCAGTAAAAAAATGACCTTGCCCAGTAAAAAGATGACCTTGCCCAGTAACATTTTTACTGGGCAAGGTCATTTTTTTACTGGGCAAGGTCATTTTTTTACTGGGCAAGGTCGTTTTTTTGGACGAAACGACCTTGCCCAGTAAAAAAATGACCTTGCCCAGTAAAAAAATGACCTTGCCCAGTAAACAAATGACCTTGCCCAGTAACTCCTTAACATTTAAATTATATATGAAAGAGAGGTTTAGGGTTTAGGGATAGACCATAAAACTACATCGGGTTCCTTCGTATGATTCGAGGAATTCCTCGATTAGGGGGTACTTGGGCTCTTTGGGTTTAGCCGTAACCCCTAAACCTCTACACTTCTCTTTGGGCTTTACCGTAGGACCTGAACCTTTTTGAATTGTTGAAGAAACTACAATAAGGAGCCCAAAAGTTAAACTTTTTGGAGGGTTCAGAAGTCAGCCAAGACTGACGGCTGCATGCCTTCGCACTCGAGACGATCGCCAAGCCTCAGAACGGCTCTCGCCTAAGCCCTCCAGCATGGGCTGTTAAGCCTGACAATCCCCTAGCCAACCCTATAAAGGGCCTTTTTTAAGGGGTCATAGGGTATAATCGCGCATGTAGGTAAACCAAAGACCCTAAACAACGGTGTCGTCTTGACCTGCACTTCGTGCTCTGATTCCAGTTGCGCAGATAGCCCCATACCCCTGTTTAGGGCTGTTGCATCCTGATATTGAAGCTGACTCAGGCAACTCCTAAGATTGATCGTTTGGACCATGCTGCGATTTTTGGCTAAAGCTGTGGCTGAAGGGTCATGACAGCAAGGTGTTTAAGTCGTGAATCAAACCTTCAAGCCCTAAACCCTATACCCCGACGCCCTAAAGCCTAAATCCTAAACCGCATTTTGTGGAGGTTGTCGGGGCCTAGGTGTTCGCTAAACCCCAAAGCCTCCACCATTTGGGCAGAGCCCCTGGCCACAAAGGCCAAGCAAAGCCTGAGATCCCACAAAAGGGTTTAGGGTTTAGGGTTTAGTGTTTAGGGTTTAGGGTTTAGGGTTTATGGAAAGACCCTTCCGTGCGAGGTCCTACTGGGAAACTGGCAAGACGAGGAAGCAGGGGGAGGGCGCGGCCTAACCCTCCTCAACCCTCAACCCCTCAAACTTCAACCCTCAAACCCCAACGAGATCCCCAGAAAATCCTTATTGAACAACACCTACAGGGCATGTTGGTAGCCTAGATTCCTAGCAAGGCATATTTCTTCATACCCCCCCCCCCCCCAAAAAAAAAAAACGAAACCTTAAACCCGAAACCCCCTAGCACCCCTAAAGCCTGAAAGTCAGCGGCAGCGCAGCAAGGGTCCTGGGGCTAAGCCTGACAGCTGCAGCGACCCGAGACGTTTGGGTTTAGGGCTTAGGGCTTAGGGTTTAGGGTTTAGGGTTTAGGGTTTAGGGGCTTGGTAGCCCAGTGGTGCCCTTGAACCTTTTGTTGGTTCTGGGTTCCCTTACAGAGTAGCCAAACAAAAACAAGGGTACCCTTTGGGATGGACTGTTAGCATAAAGGGGGAGATCCCAACCTATCAGCCCGAAACCCTCATAACCCTCATAACCCTAAACCCTAAACCCTAAACCCTAAACTCTAAACCCTAAACCCTAAACCCTAAAATCGGATGGTTACTGGGCTACCAAGTAGGTTTTAAGGTCTGGAGTCGGCAGGTCCTAGGATGGTCCCGTCCCTTCTTTAAAGGATTTTTGAAGTATGGGCCCCTAGGTTGCATGGGGTATATAAAGGGGGGTTTAGGGTTTAGGGTTTAGGGTTTAGGGTTTAGGGTTTAGGGTTTAGGGTTTAGGGTAACTACGCTAAGAGTTTTAAGATTGTCGGGTTGACCGATTCCTTCAGCAGTACCTGCCTTCACTCAACTCAGCGCCCCCCTTTTTTAGGTTGAGAAGACCCTAAACCCTAAGCCCTAAGCCCTAAGCCCTATACCCTAAACCCTAAACCCTAAACCCTAAGCCCTAAACCCTAAACCCTAAACCCTAAAAACCACTAAAAGCCTCAAAACCCTCAACCCTTGCAGATGCCTCCGGCTCTTCTTGCAAGGCGTTCCTGAGAGAAGCGACCTTCGATGTTGTACTGGCTGACTACTTGCCGGAGGCTCGGCTGCCCCCGACCATATTGTACTGGGTACTGGCTGGTTCTTAGTACCCTAAACCCTAAACCCTAAACCCTACACCCTAAACCCTAAACCCTAATACTTGGAGGTTCAAGGTACTTACTAACCAATTATAACTGTACGTAAAACTGTACTTACAAGCTCCTTAAGTGCCCTAATATGGTGATAAGTACAGTTATAAGTACAGTTATACTTGGTTAGTAAGTACCCTGAACCTCCAAGTAGGGAATGAGGGAATGAGGTACCCTCTTTTGTCCCTTAAAGGGTATATACAGAGCCTTAATTCCCTCATTCCCTACTAGGAACCAGGGGGTGTCGGGATTTTGGCGGTTGATGCATTAAGAACACGGCTCCTTGAGTTGAACGCCTAAGAGCCTAAACCTGAGATCGTGAACCCTAGAAGGAGCTTGAAAGCAGGCTTGGCCTAGTGTCCATTGTTGCAGGTTGCTGCTATACAGCTAGAAGCTTACTTTACTCGTTTATAAAGGTTTAAAGTTTAGGGTTTAGACTGAAATTCCAAAGCCCTAAACCGCCTAAACCCCAATCTTTTGAGTCCTTAAGGGGGAACTCAGGGCCTTCCTACCCCTGCACCTTCAAAGATATTTAGGGTTTAGGGTTTAGCGTTTAAGGTTGTGATTACTCTAAGGGGCCATACAGATACTTTGTAGGCCGTACCCTGTTGGGTTCTGGCTTGCCCTGTGAAAAGGAACTGACCCCCACAAGGTTACCCTTATTGTAACATGCTACTGGCCTCCAAGGAAAGTAGGGTTTAGTTTAGGGTTCAGGGCTTAGATAAGGGTTTCTTAAATGGGCGCAGCGCAAGGCATGTAGCGAAGAATCCTGCGCATTGTAGCTTAGGCGACAAGACACGCCCATCCCTCTCCTAAACCCTTAACCCTAAACCCGAATCCCTAAACCCTAAACCCTAAACCCTAAACCCTAAATCCTAAACCCTAAACCCTAAATCCTAAACCCTGAACCTTTCAGAGTCGACAAGCCCACACCAGCCCGAACTTTCCTTGAGGCTTGGAGCCGTGGAGTACTTCGCCCCATACTTCCAGGTGGGGAGGGCTGGGTTTAGGGTTTAGGGTTTGGGGTTTAGGGTTTGGGGTTTAGGGTTTAGGGTTAGGGTTTAGGGTTTAGGGTGTAAGGTTTAGGGTTCAGGGCCGGGCTTAGCGCGAAGTGAAGCCAAAGGGCTTTTGACAGTTCGTTTGGGGTTTAGGGCTTGAGGGAGTTTCGGGGTGTTTTTCAGAGGGGGGGGCGGTTCAGGGTTCAGGGTTCAGGGTTCAGGTTTTAGGGTTTAGGGTTTGGGGTTTGGGGTTTCGGGTTTAGGGTTTGGGTCGTTTTGCATTTGAGGATCTTTTTAGCCTGGGCGGCTAGCTGGCACAAAGGTTGGGGCGTGGAAAGTCTGGAACGAAGCACGGCTTTAGGATCATGGGCCCAAACGTCAAGCCTCGGACCCCGAATCTGCTCCAAACTCTGAGCCACGAGCCCAGAACCGTAAACCCTACACCCTAAAGAACCCTAAACGACCCTCAAAACCCTAAACAACCCTAAGCAACCCTAAACAACCCCAAACAACCCCAAACAACCCCAAACAACCCTAAACCCTAAATCCTAAACAACCCACAACCCTAAACCCTAAACCCCAAACCCCAAACCCCAAACCCCAAACCCCAAACAACAAACCCCAAACCCCAAACCCTAAACCCTAAACTCCAACCCCTATAGAGCCTAGGTGGGACTCCTCAAGCGGCTCGCGCGCGTGACCAGGCCATGCGATCTTGCGGACGTGTGGATTGATGATGCCCAAAAACTCCAATACCCCTAAAATAAGGGTTAGGGTTTAGGGTTTAGGGTTTGGGGTTTAGGGTTTAGGGTTTAGGTTTAGAGTTTAGGGTTTAGGGTTCAGGGTTTTTGGTTTGGGGTTTAGGGTTTAGAACCCTTAAAATATGGTAGGGCTCCTTATATGGCTTAAGGAATATTCCTCTATTGAGGAGTATTGGGGTCTCTGGGTAACTTGGTCGCCCAGTGGTACCCTTTCGAGGTTTGGGGTTTAGGATACGTTTAACCCTAAGCCCGTAACCCGAAACCCTAAACCCTCCCTAAACCCCCAACGCGTGCAACATAGTAAATAATAGTCCGTTTTTCATCGTCTTGGGCCATTTTGCATAGGTTCCTATAAATCGACTTCGTATAGTTTTTTAGAATGGCACTCAGAAGCCCTCTTGAACCGCAAGGGCTCTTTCTGGACGGGTTTGTTTTTTGTTTAGGGTTACGGGTACTTGGAGGTTCATGGGACTTACTAACCAATTATAACTGTACTTATAACCCTACTTATTGGGATAACCCCTATAAGGCCCTTTAGGGGTGTTTTAAGTAGGGTTATAAGTACAGTTATAAGTGGTTATTAAGTCCCATGAACCTTCAAGTAGGGTCACATGGGAATCGTGGTGGCTTGGTGTATTTGCTAAGGTTTTGCGGGTTGGAGCTTAGGACTTCGGGAGTTAGTTTCTGGATTTGTGTATGGCCTTCCATTTTTTAGGGTTCTTAAGGGAGGGAACCTGATACTCCCCCAGTAGCCCCCAGGGCTCCCTCAGGTTCCCTAGGTACCCCTACACCCTAAACCCTCAACCCTCAACCCTCAACCCTCAACCCTCAACCCTAAACCCTCAATCCTCAACCCTCAACCCTCCACCCTAGACCCTAAACCGTAAACCCTAAACCCTAGACCCTAGACGATAGCCTCCTGGGCCTCCTTCCGGTCTGGCCGAGGCCCGGAGGCCTTCTGATCTTGCTTGGCCGCGAGCCCGAGGAGCCAGGGGGCCTGGGCGGGAAGGGGGGGGTTTAGGGTTTAGGGTTTGGGGTTTTGGGTTTTGGGTTTTGGGTTTAGGGTTTAGGGTTTACGGTTTAGGGTCTAGGGTTTAGGGTTTAGGGTTTGGGGTTTGGGGTTTGGGGTTTGGGGTTTAGGGTTTGGGCTTTGGGGTTTAGGGTTCAGGGTTTAGGGTTTGGGGTTTGGGGTTTAGGGTCTTGTATACCTGCTTAGGTTTGGTCTTTGAGCCCTAATCCCTATACCCTCGTGCAAACCTATGAGGCTTCTGCCGAATAAAAGCGAGTAGAGTCACGAACCACTATTTTCCACCACAGACCAAATGCAAAGCTACCCAGCGTGGACACATCGCGGCGCCTTACCCTCAAAACTTTAAACCCTAAACCCTAAGCCCTAAACCCTAAACACCCCAAACACCCCAAACACCCTAAACACCCTAAACTCTAAACCCTAAACCCTAAATACCCTAAAACCCTAAACACCCTAAACCCTAACTACCCAAACCCGATGTAGGGTTGAGGGTTTCAGGCTTCCTAAGGTCGGAGCCATGGACCCTTAGCATGGTCCCTTGCCCTTCTTGATATTATACTACTGTTTGCTTGGAACCCCCAGGGTTTAGGGTTTAGGGTTTAGGGTTTAGGGTTTAGGGTTTAGGGTTTAGGGTTTAGGGTTTAGGGTTTATGGGAAATAGAAAATATCAATAATCCCTATATTGCCCTTGTAAGGAAGAATATTATTATTATTATTATCATTATTATTATTTTTTTTTTTTTTTGGGGGGGGGGGGGGGGGGCTCTTAAGCAAGTGGTAGTACAGGGATCCGAAGTATGGGCCCTTAGTATCGATAGCGTATGTAAGGGTCATATAGTGCCGGGCCGGAAGTAAGGGCCCACACCCTAAACCCTACACTCTAAACTCTAAACCCTAAACCCTACACCCTAAACCCTAAACCCTAAACCCTAAAACCCCAATTAAGGGCCCAAGCTTGGAACCCTGGAGACTTTCTGCAGAAGGAGCTACAGGTGGACGATGAAACATCTCAGCTTGCGGTGGACATCCAGTGCTTCAGGCTTCCTCCCCTTGCCCTTGAGGTCTTCTAGGGTTTAGGGTTTAGGGTTTAGGGTATAGGGTTTAGGGTTTAGGGTTTAGGGTTTAGGGTTCAGGGTCCAGGGTTCAGGGTTCAGGGTTTAGGGTTTTGGGTTTTGGGTTTAGTCTTAAAGCAATCTCTGATTCACCCCCTGCTAAAAAAGAGGGGTTCGGCTTCGTCACATGCAGAGCTCAGAGGTGGATGAAGGCCAATTGCTCAAAAAATTCCAAAAAAACAATGAATATTCTTCTTCCTTATGAGGGCAATAGAGGGATTTGTTTTTTTGGGGCTTCTTGAGCAAATAGTAGTTTATAACAACGACTTTTTAAAGTGTGTGTGTGTGTGTGTGTGTGTGTGTGTTCCCTGACTTTGGACCTCATTTCCGGCCAGAGCCGTCGTCAAGAGAGAGAGACAGAGAGAGAACAGAGTCAGAGACACGGGCGAAAAGACGCAGAGCGACGCAGGGGAGAGAGTCAGAGAGAGACGGAGGTTAATAGCCATGGACTTGCCATGGCTGTTGCTCTTGCTGCGGTTAATCCCCGGCAGCGGAACCGACGCGTTCACCAGCAACGCCGAGCTACGCTCGGCACTCACGATCTGGAACTCAGATCCAGGCTGGCGGTTGCGGATTTCTGGGGATGAAGCCCAAACCCTAGACCCCAAACTAAACCCTACACCCTAAACCCTAAACCCTAAACCCTAAACCCTAAACCCTAAACCCTAAACCCTAAACCCTAAACCCTAAACCCCAAGAAACCCTAAACCCTAAAGCCCCAAACCCTCTCCTGGCCTCGAGACGGAGAGCTGCCAGGTTAATTGGAGGTTCATTAGGGTTTAGGGTATGGGGTTTAGGGTTTAGGGTTAGGGTTTAGGGATTGTTATTGGGGTTTACGATATTTGGGGTACCCTATTGGGGACCTCATTATAAGGGGAATATTCTATTTGGGGTCGATTATTGGGGCCCCTCATTGTCGCAAACCCCCATGTGGGTATTTTATCACCTGTAGGGTTAGAATTATGGTCGCTGTACTTGCAACCCCGGTTTAGGGTACTTAAAAACCCCACTTCTAACTACCCCAAGAGAACCTACAAGCATGCCTCGTCTCCCTAAAACCCTTCGGGTGCAGGCAACGCCGCCCTCGTGGCGCAGTATGGCGAGATCGGCGATTGGAACGTGTCTCAGGTGACCGACATGAGCTTCCTGGTAGTAGAGTAGGTAACCTTTAACCTTTTTTTGGGGTAGTATAATCCCATCATAATCCCAAAGGTTAAGCTTTAATTCCCCAGGTTACTGGACAACTAAGGCTTGCTATTCTTTGCTCTCACAAACATCGACGAGAACATCTCGGCCTGGGACACGTCGCAAGTCACGAGCATGCGGCTGATGTTCCAGCTTGCCTCGTCCTTCAACTCTCCCATCGGAGCCTGGGACACCTCCAGCGTGACAGACATGACAGGGATGTTCGCAAGCGCAACGTCCTTTAACCAGCCCCTCGACTCTTGGAATACCTCCCAGGTGACGAAGATGAACGGCATGTTCACCATAGCCCATGCATTCAATCAGCCCCTCGACTCCTGGGACACGTCGAAGGTGACCAACATGCGAGGCATGTTCCTTAGTAGCTGAGTGAGCAGCACTTTACTACACCTTTTTTTGGGATGTGATGATCCCCCTCTAGACTTTTTTTGGGGGGGGCTTTATGCACTCAGCAACCAAGGTTTAGTGACGCCAAGGTCTTCAACCAGTTCATCGGCTCCTGGGATACGGCAACTGGGAAGCTCAATGGGACTTTGTTGACTTCCCTAGTTCCCCCCCATCAGTGCGAGGGCACTTTGGGGTTCTCACGCTGGGGGGGGGGGGGGGGGGGGGGGGCGACAGGAAAAGGATACTTGGAGGTTCATGGGACTTACTAACCAATTCTAACTGTACTTATAACCCTACTTATAATACGTCTAACGGGCCTTATCGGGTTATCCCCATTATAAGTAGGGTTATAAGCCCAGTTATAAGTGGTTATTAAGTCCCATGAACCTCCAAGTAGGGGGCTTGTGTTCGGTCTGCTCGTTGTCTCCTGTGCAAGAACACTGCGCAGCTCAAGCTGCGAGGGATGACCCTCGAGGTTTTTGCGCGTGCCCGCGTGGCTCTAGGTGAATCCCTAAACCCTAAACCCTAAACCCTAAACCCTAAACCCTAAACCCTAAACCCTAAACCCTAAACCCTAAACCCTAAACCCTAAGCCCTAAGCCCTAAGCCCTAAACCATAAACCCTAAACCCTAAATCCTAGAAGCAGCCAACTGCTGTCGCTTCTAGGTCCCAGGAGCGCACTTGACATGTCACTTGGCCTTGGCAAACCCATACTTGGAGGTTCATGGTACTTACTAACCAATAACTATACTTATAACCCTACTTATAATACCCCTAAAGGGCCTTAGAGGGGATATCCCACTAATAAGTAGGGTTATAAGCCCAGTTATAAGTGGTTCGTAAGTACCGTGAACCTCCAAGTAAGCCCTTTGGGAGGGTTCCTAAGGGTTTAGGGTTTAGCGTTTCGGGTTTTGGGCCCCAAACCCTAAACCCTAAACGCTAAACCCTAAACCCTAAAGCCCAAACCCCCAAAACCCCAACCCCCAAAACCCTAAACCCTACTAAACCCTACTAAACCCTACTTACTAAACCCTACTTACTAAACCCTACTAAACCCTACTAACCCTACTAACCCCTACTAAACCCTACTAAACCCTACTAAACCCTACTAAACCCTACTACACCCTACTAAACCCTACTAATCCCTAAACCTTTAGGGTTTAGGGTCTTCTCTTGCTCTTATGGCAAGCTCCTGGAATGTTCCCAGGGGGCCTTTGGACTACTTCAAAGGTGGTCTTACACTGTTTGGGGTCTCCGCCGGCATGTGTGGGTTGAAAGGGAACCGAAGAGACCAACACCCCTTAATCTATATTCCCCTTGGGAATTATTTTGTATTTTGTTCATATAAAACCCAAGAGGATATTAAACATATTTATTCTGAAGGTTCTAAGGGGAGTTTAGTAATTGCGGAATATACCTTACATCATACTAAGCCCCTATATGCTTTGAGGTACTTTCCTTAATTAAGGGGTATTGGGCTCCTTGGGGGACCTTGTTCAAGAATATGTGTCAGAGGGTTCCATTGGCCACCCCAGGGCAGTGTAACAGACATGAACAGCATGTTCGCCACGGCTCTCGCCTTCAACCAGTCCATCGAGTCCTGGGACGTGTCAAAAGTTACCAACATGAAGCTGATGTTTGCTGCGTCGACTATCAGCAGCTTCAACCAACCCTTGAATTTGTGGGACACCTCAAGCGTGACGACCATGGAGGGAATGTTCAGCGGCTCATCGTTCGACCAGCCCCCTGGTGTGGGCCCTTAAGGGAGACTTTCCTTTTCTCTCTTGTTGGGTTTGAGAGGACCAGACCCTAAACCTTAGGCCGCAAACCTAAACCCTAAACCCTAAACCCTACACCCTACACCCTAAACCCTAAATCCTCACCGAGGCCCATTGGAGACTGGAATACATCCAGCGTCACCAATATGCTCCTTAGGGGTACTTGGGAATGCTTTTTTTAAAAAACATGTTTGGGTACTTTAAACCCTAAACCGTAAACCCTAAACCGTAAACCGTAAACCCTAAACCCTAAACCCTAAACCCTAAACCCTAAACCCTAAACCCTAAGGTTCCAAGTCCAGTAGAGGCAAAACATGTTCCGATTTTCGCAGACTTTCAACCAGCCCATCGGCTCTTGGGACACTGGGTTTGGCCCTTGGGATCCTTTTTTTTGTGTTTAGGGTTTTGGGTTTAGGGTTTAGGGTTTAGGGTTTAGGGTTATACATTTTTCGCTTTGTTGGGTGGAGTTTAAGAGGATCATGTACATAAATAACAAGTTTGTATGCACACACATATTTCTCCACGCCTTTTTTTGGGGGGGAGGAGTTGAAGAGGATCGTAGCTGAAGAGTCTTTTCTCGGAGGGTCTTAAGCGCGGCCCGCTTGGAAGCCCTCTTGACTTAGTAGGCAAGGTTAGTATAAGGTGGGTTATGGGGATGAGAACAGGGTTTCGAGGGGATGCGAAGTAGACTTACTAAGTCAAAAGAGCTTCCCTAAACCCTAAACCCTAAATCTAAACCCTAAACCCCCCCCCCCCCCCCCCAAAAACAAAAAAAAAAGGCCCGTAGTTGCAAACCCCCCCCCCTTCTTTAGGGTTTAGGGTTTAGGGTTTCAAGGACACGTCCCGTGTCACCACCATGGAGCTGATGTTTGACGGGGCCACGGCCTTCAACCAGCCAATCGGCTTGTGGGATACATCCCGAGTCACCTCCATGAGCTGCTAGGCATCTCTTACAGTAGGGTTTAGGGTTTAGGGTTTAGGGTTTTAGGGTTTTAGGGTTTAGGGTTTAGGGTTTAGGGTTTAGGGTTTAGGGTTTAGGGTTTAGGGTTTAGGGTTTGGGGTTTAGGGTTTAGGGTTTAGGGTTTAGGGTTTAGGGTTTAGGGCTTATGGGGGAACCTTTTAGGGGGCACGAGTCTTACTTAATCCCTTGAGCTAGGCGCTTGGGATCTGGCATGCTTTCCCTCATTGGCTTTGTGAGAGAATCGTATTTTTACTTGGAGGTTCATGGGTAGTTATGAGGTTAGAGCTAGGGTTATAACTATACCCTAAAAGCATATCACCCTATTGAAGATACTTACAACCCGACTTACTCCACAAACAAACCTCCGAGTATTGGGTTGAAGAGGATCGTAATTTTAGGATTCTTTCCAGAGTGGTTACCCTAAACCCTAAACCCCAAACCCTTAACCCTAAACCCTATTTTCTTTTCAGTCCAACCCAGGCTTCATGTTCCAAAACGCCAAAGTGTTCAACCAGTTTTTGGGTTGCTGGGACACGGGAAGCTACTTGGCTTGACAAGAGTCCCAACTGCTTGGTAGCCCAGTGGTTTAGGGTTTAGGGTTTAGGGTTTAGGGTTTAGGGCTTAGGGTTTGGGGTTTAGGGTATAGGGTTTAGGTTGTTTCCTTTTTGTTGGGTTCAAGCTTCCCGCATAAACTAACCAACCCCAAAAAGGGTACCCTTATCATAATACGGTTCCTGGGCTACCAAGACTGGCTGGTTCTTGGTAGGGAATGAGGGACTGAGGGAATGAGGGCATGAGGTACCCTTTAATCATCCCTTAAAGGGTATATCTAGAGCCCTAATTCCCTCATTTCTTATTAACAGCCAGGGGGCCCATGAAAAGAAGGACTACAAAAACTCTAAACCCCGAAGCCCTAAGCCCCAAACCCCAAGCCCTAAAGCCTACAGTTTTTGTCGGGCCCCCGCCGTTGAATAAGTAGGGCTGAGAAGTGCTCTAAATTGGGTTATCAGCAGAGTTACCATAATAGAATAAAAGAAAAGCACTTCTTACAACTACCTAGGAACCTCCGAGCCGATCCGCCAGCCCTAAACCCTAAACCCTAAACCCTAAACCCTAAACCCTAAACCCTAAACCCTAAACCCTAAACCCTAAACCCTAAACCCTAAACCCTAAACCCTGAACCAAGGCGTGGTGACTTCATTTAACATGTTCGCTGGTGCAGATGCCTTCGAAGGACCCCCTTGTTCGGCGGGATTTGTGGCAACCAGCAACGACCTGGGCTGCGTAGCCGAGCCAACCTGTGAGACTTGCCTAGCTTTAGGGTTCAGGGTTTTGGGGTTTGGGGTTTGAGGGTTTAGGGTGTAGAGTTTAGGGTTTAGCAGTTGAAGTTTGAAGCTTTCTGGTTTCCTTTTTTAGCAGGAATAGAAGTTTGACCTTTTGTCTCCCTTGGTTCTTGGAGAAGTAAGGAGAACGGAACAGCCGCCGAACCTGAGTTCGACTGCCTCACGGGCAACGGCACCAGCGGCGAGATCTGTGTGTCATGCGACCCCGGTTTTGAGCTGACTCCCGACAAGCTTTGCGCTCATCCTAAGCTCCTTGGGGATATATATATATATATATATGTATATGTATATATATATACACATATAATTTTTCTCAAGTTTTGGGTACTTGAGTTCCTAAGAAACACCTAGAATTTTATTTTTTGCCCACGGTTCCAAGTTCAGTATAGGCTCTGGTGTGAGAACCTCAATCACCTCGACTACGCGCTGCTGAGCAAGAAGGCCAAGCTCGACTTCGCACAGTGCTTGAAGTATTCCCTCATCCAGGACGATGAAATCCCGGAGAACGTGCTCAACTTTTCGCCTCCAAGATCGTCGGAAAGGCTCCTGGAGCTCGCATTGCCTGGCCTGCTCCTCACTTTGGCCGCCTTCGCCCTTCTTGCGCACGCCTGGCGAGGATGCAGGCGCAGCCCCCGCTATGAGGAAGTGCTGCTTGCACCAATCTGACATATCATCCCCCCCCCTTTTTCGTCCCAGGGTATTGGGGCTCCCGCAAGCCCTGACTTCCTCAATCCCTAAATGCCTCAGCCCTATATCCTAAACCCTAGACTCTAAACCCTAAACCCCGCCAAGCTCTCGTCTCCTTTCATGCCGCAGGCATGCGCAGACTGATTGTTTTCAACAGTCTAAATCTAAGCGGTTCTGCTGAACTGCTGGATGGCACATTGCACACCAGGAGAGCCCAACACTCGTTCATGAAGGCACATACTGTGGTTTAGAGTTTACGGTTGAGGTCTTAGGGTTTGGGGTTGAGGGTCTAGGCGGTCTAGGACCCAGAGCAGGCCCATATTGCCCCTTTTTAGGGTTCAGGCTCCATTGTATGCCCCTTTAAACCAAAAAGAGTACCGTTTTCATTCCTAGGTTGCGGTAGTCTTTGGACCCTAAACCCTAAACCCTAGACCCTAAAGCCTAAACCCTAACCCCTAAACCCTAACCCCTAAACCCAGATTACTCTTGGGTCTAGGGGCTGAGGGTTCAGCTCCGGGTATGCCTCAAGCCCAATGTGGCTGGGGGTTTGGAAGTGATGGAGTTTCGGCTTGAAGCCTTGACTTGTCTCTGCTTGGCGCAGACAAACAACCTCTGAACCCTGAACCCTGAACTACCCTAAACCCTAAACCCTAAAACCTAAACCTAAATCCTAAGTAACCTCAGACTCAGCTTTCAAAGCCTTGGAGTTACCGCGCCAGGGATTCGGTGATCCTCCTCGGCCGAAAGCGCCCCTACAGGCGATGAGGGTTTTGGGTTCGAACTCCAATCCCTACCGTTTCGGGTTTAGGGTCTAGGGTCTAGGGTTTAGGGTTTAGGGTTTAGGGTTTAGGGTTTAGGGTTTAGGGTTTAGGGTTTAGGGTTTAGGGTTTAGAGTTCCCTCAGGAGCCCAATACCCCTTAGTTAAGGAATATACCTTTAGTCATACTCAGGATCCCAATATGAATATGGTTTGAGGAAGGTTCCTTTTTTAAAGGGTGTTGGGCTCTGTGGGTCATCCCGAAACCCTACGCCCTGAACCATAGGTTGTTGATGTAGAGTTCGGGACTCCTTTATCACCTTACCTCCTTTGAGGGTTCTGAAGTATGGGCCATGTGTTGTTTATAGGGTATATCAGGGGTCCCCTTCTAACGGGCCCCTACTAAAGGGACTATGTAACTATCCCAAGAACGTAGCGGGGTTCAGGACTGTTGGGACTGTTGGAGGGCTTTCGGCTTTGGCTTTGGGGCTCTGCGGGCGTTTGGAACTGAGGCTCATCCCAAAGAGCACGCTCTCGAGGGTTTCGGGCTTCTGAGGGATACTTTGTTCTGGCGTAGGGTCTAGAGTTTCATGCTAAGCTGCCAAGGGTTTAGGGTTTAGGGATTCTTTGTTAGGGCGACCCCACGTGTTTGAGGCTCGATAGACCACCTCCCGTAGTTTTCGTCGGGGCTGAAGCAAAGTGCGAAGTTCAACGCCGCCGAGTTCATCAGGGTTTAGGGTTTAGGGTTTAGGGGTTTAGGGTTCAGGGTTCAGGGTTGAGGGTTGAGGGTTTCGGGTCCTGTGCTCCCTGGCCCTACACTTACCCTCGCCCAGGAATTTGACTAGTAAAATGATGAAAAGGCCGACCTCGACAAGGGGACCCGGTTGAAGAAGACCGCAACGCCTAAACCCTAAAACCCTGAACCCTAAACCCTAAACGTCTTTTCCTTGGCCTACGCTGGCAACACCTTTGGGTTCATGATTTCTGCGCAGGTCGTTCCAGCACCCCCTAAACCCTGCGCCTACACTTGATACGTTCAGGGTTTAGGGTTTAGGGACCCTAAGCCCTAAACCCCAAACCCTAATGTTGGTCCCTATAAGCCTTGTAAAAAAGGACCCCCAAAAAGGGGACCCAAATGAGAGAACTCCCCCACCCCTTATATCCTTCAAAAAGGGAAGAGTCAGTGGTTGGTGAGTGTATGTGCACTTAGATCCCTACACCCAAAATCCTAAGTTACTAAACCCTAAACTAAGTGAGGGGTCGCTTCCGTCGAGCGACAGACCCCGAACGCTCGGCCGAGGGCCTTACAGGCTGAGCGCCAAAGCGAAAAGAGAAACGGAAAGGTGAGGGTTAAGCCTCACCGTCTGTCCTGGACAGGCCAACGGACATCGGCCTTTTTTACGACAACGTCAGTACTCGGCTAAGGGATGGCCGGCACCCAGACCACCTTTAGCGTAGCTAAAGTATAACCCCAAATCGTAACCCTTTGCCTCTGGAGGTCGGTTCAGGGTTTTGGGTTCAGGGTTTGGGGGCCCCCCCCCCCCTTGCCGGGGGCCCCCTGGCCCCTGGTAGCTGGATTCCTGGACCAGGAGGCTGGCGAGGGGTCCAGGCAGGCTTTCGTGATTTTTTCAAGACATGCCGGGATCAAGGGCTCCCCGCCAAAAGCCCCAAGGGCCCGGCCTCCGGGCCCTCGGGGGGCCAAGGACCAAGGACCAAGGGGCCCCCCAACCAAAAGCGACCAAGGGCGCCCCACACCAAGGGCCAAGGCCCTTCGGGCCAAGGCCCCCCCGGGCCAAGGCCGCCCGGGCCAAGGGCCCCCCTCGCCAAGGGCCCCCAGGCCAAGGGCTCCCCAGGCCAAGGGCCAGGGCCGGGCCAAGGGTGTCGCACCGACACACCCTGCAAAGGGCCCCCCCAACTGGGCCCCCCACACCAACGCCCTTGCAGGGAATCGCAGGCCCAGGAAGCCCCCAAGAGGTGCCAAGAGCCACCAAAAGGCTTCAAAAACTTCAAAAGGCCCACTAAAAGAAGGGGGACCACAAGATTTGTCCGTGCCCACAATGAAAAATGCGATTTTTGAATATTGAGAACATTGTTTCTAGGCACCTGCCCGCAATGAAAAATGTTCTTTTTTAGTACTGAAATCGATAAATCAGCAAGGACCTCTACGGGCCCTGACGTGCCGAAGGCCCGCAAAGGACCGAGGCTACCCTGAACCCCAGCCTAAACCCTAACACCGCAAAACCCTACGACGGCCTTCAAGCAGATAAGGGCCTCTACGGGCCCTAACGTGCCGAAGGCCCGAAAAGGGCCGAGGCTACCCCGAACCCCAGCTTAAACCCTAACACCGCAAAACACTGCGAAGGCCTTCAAGCAAATAAGGGCCTCTACGGCCCTAACTTGCCGAAGGCCCGAAAAGGGCCGAGGCTACCCCGAACCCGAGCTTAAACCCTAGCGATTGAAATACTCATTGGCGAAAAACTCATTAATTGGTTCCCTGACACCCCAAGAGCCACCAAAATGCTTCAAAAGGCTTCAAAAGGCCCCCTAAAAGAAGGGGGACCCCAGGATGCCCGTACCCGCAATGAAAAATGCGATTTCTTGGTAGTGAAATCGATGCTTAATTGAGGCCCTTAAAGAAGGGGAATCCAGGAGCAGACACAAAGGGTTTCCCTGACCTTCAAATAAATAAGGGCCTCTACGGGCCCTGACACGCCGAAGGCCCGAAAAGGGCCGAGGCTACCCCCAACCCCAGCTTAAACCCTAACAGCGCAACTTTAAAACATCAAAGCAAGCATCAGAGCACAAGAAAGTAAATTCCATAAACCCTATAAACCCTAATAGAGTATAGTTTGGGTGGCGGGGTGGGTTGACGGGCAATGCGAGCGCGCGGCCCGGGGAGTTTCACACCCGAGCGTGCGCCCTCCCCTGACACACCCTAAACCCTAAACCCTAAACCCTAAACCCTAAACCCTGAACCCTGAACCCTGAACCCTGAACCCTAAACCCTAACCCCTAAGCCCTAAGCCCTAAGCCCTAAGCCCTAAGCCATAAACCGTAAACCCTAAACCCTAAACCCTAAACCCTATAAACCCTATAAACCCTATAAGCCCTATAAACCCTATAAACCCTATAAACCCTATAAACCCTATAAACCCTATAAACCCTATAAACCCTATAAACCCTATAAACCCTATAAACCCTATAAACCCTATAAACCCTATAAACCCTAAACCCTAAACCCTAAACCCTAAACCTTAGACCCTAGACCCTAAACCCTAAACCCTAAACCCTAAACCGTAACCTATTTCGGTAATCCCGTGAGCCCACAAGCTGACAGGGAGATGCCACGGCGATGGGTGGCAGAGCAGCTCTGGCAGCAGGTGCCGCCACCGGGGCTTTGGTGGGTTTAGGGTTTAGGGCTAGGGTTTAGGGCTAGGGTTTAGGGCTAGGGTTTAGGGTTTAGGGCTTCGGGCTTAGGGTGCCCTAACCCCCAGCCCTAAACCCTAAACCCACATGAAGTGTCAAGACCAGGGGTTGTGGGCGCGGGGGCTCACGGGGCGTCGGGTTTAGGGCTTCTTGGCACCCCGGTGGCGCTCTTTTTGCCCTTTTTAGGTTCTGGGTTTAAGGTTTAGGGTTTAGGGTTTAGGGTTTAGGGTTTAGGGCTGAGGAGGGAACCTTCAACCTTTTGGGGTCTCTATACTCCTACCATATTAGAAAAGTTTAGCCTTTTTTGGCCCGGGGTACTCAGCAACTAGCATTACCCCAAGAAGGTTTAGGGCCTCGTCTTAGTAGTTAGGTTACTGGGCTACTCAGGCTTTGGTGGTCTAGGGCTTAGTAGGGTCTGGACTCTCGGGTTCGGAGGTTAGGGCTTCGAGTTTAGGGATCTCTTTCACTTTGTATCCCTCACCTCTAAACCCTGGCCCTAACCAGTTTCGAGGTTAGGGTCCTTCCATTTTGTGGAACAGCACCGCAGCGGAAAGGTACGTTGAGAACGTGGGGTTTTCCACTTCGCAGGGTAATCCAAGCCGTCTTTCCGGTCTGCTGTATGTGCCGAAAAGCCTCAACCCCTTCAACGGAGCCCAGCTTTGACACGACGGGATCGATCATCCCGGCGTTGTGGGACCTCAGAGCGAGAAGTTTCTCTGGCGTGCTGCGCCCGCATGGCAGCGAAAGCTTCCAGGGATTTGTGTTGGGGAGGGCCTAAACCCTAAACACTAAAAACCTAAGCCCTGATCTCTTAGCCCTAAGCCCTAAACCCTGGCTGCCAGCAACCTGAGAGGAGGGAACCCTACAAACCGCAGAGGCTTTTGAAGCCGTCGTAAGCCCTGAAGCCCCTGACAAGGGTTTTGGGTTTTGGGTTTAGGGTTTGCAGTTCAGTTGCTTAGGGTTTAGGGTTTAGGGTTTGCACTTCAGGGCTTGCACTTCAGGGTTTAGGGTTTAGACCCTAAGCCCTAACCCTAAACCTCGGCCAGGGATTGCAACTGGAGGGAGGGCGCCGCTTTCCCCGGCGTCTGGACTTGGAGAAGGTGGGGCGGACTCTTCGGGGTGGGATTCGGGTTCAGACCCTAAACCCGAAACCCTAAACCCTAAGCCCTAAACCCTAAACCCCAAAACCCTGAATCCCAAACCCTTGGTGTTGTTGTTTAGGGTTGTTGCGTGGTTTTCAGATGTTGCACAGGTCCAGTTTGTCGGGCCGCTGGCACTTCGGCTGAGCCCTACGCCCGAAGCCTAATTCAAGCCTGAAAGCCCAAAGCCTACTTGGAGGTTCATGGGTAGTTAGTTGTCTAGGACCGGGAGTAGGCACTTTTTTCCTTTTTTTAGGGTTCGGGGTTCCCTTATAATCCTCTTAAAACCCAAAAGGGTACCTTGTATTCCTAGGTTACTCCCGGGTCTAGTTGTAGGATTTTGAGGCTATAAGCATGGCTACCATAGTTATTACATAGCCCTACGTCAAACTACCCAAGAACCTCCAAGTACGAGGTCTCTCCTTGCTTTGTGGTGGTATGACAACGGCAGAGTTCGTCACGAAGCTCGGACTGGGCTCAACGCATGGCGAAACTGAAGAGACTCCCGAAGAAGACCCTCGGTGCTCCCAAAAGGAGACAGTCCTTGTGGGGGACCGAATGAACCCTAAACAACAAATGTAGGGCTGAAATGAACCGTAAAATGTTTACTATAGCTTCAGAAGGGGGTGGTCGTCCTGTAGGGGGTCCCTGAGCTCAACACCCACAACCCAAACCCAAAACCCTACTTGGAGGTTCATGGCACTTACTCACCACTTATAACTGGGCTTATAACCCTACTTATCATTGGGATAACCCTTATAAGGCCCTTTAGGGGTATTATAAGTGGGGTTATAAGTACAGTTGTAATTGGTTACTAAGTGCCATGAACCCCTAAAGGGCCTTGTAGGGGTTATCCCAAATATAAGTAGGGTTATATAAGCCCAGTTATAAGTGGTTAGTAAGTACCATGAACCTCCAACTAGGGGTCCCTAAGCTCAACACCCACAACCCAAACCCTAAACCCTAAACCCGACATTTGATCCCAATTTTTGTGGGGGTTCGCTTGGTCCATTCCTCCCAGGTGGAGAGGAACCTCGCCTGGGCGGAGGAGGCCCGGAGTCCCTAAACTCTAAACCCTAAACCCTAAACCCTAAACCCTAAACCCTAAACCCTAAACCCTAAACCCTGAACCCTTAGCCCTAAACCCTAAACCCTTAAACCCTTAGCCCTAAACCCTAAACCCTAAGACCCTGAATCTCTCGGTTTTTGAGGGCTCGTGTCCCACCTCTCTGCCCAAAGCCCGAAACCCTGACCCCACGAACCCAGAGCAGACTTTGTTTAGGGTGAGGGGCTTAGGGTTTAGGGTTTAGGGCTTGCGCCAAGTTTCCCAGGGCTTCGGGCTTGGGGCGTTGCGAACGTGAACTAGCAGAAACTGAGCTACCATAGCAAGTATGGCAATCTAATTCCAGCTTTCGAAGCCCTAAGCCCCTAAACCCTAAACCCTAAACCTAAGACTTAAACCTTAAACCCTAAACCCTAAACCCTAAACCCTAAACCCTAAACCCTAAACCCTAAACCCTAAACCCTAAACCCTAAACCCTAAACCCTAAACTCCTTCGCAGCAAGCAGGAGTTGGAACGCGTGCCAGATCTGGAGCTCCGAAACCAGCTGTCGAGGCCTCGCAGGGCTTGAGGAGGGCCTTTGGCCCTAAACCCTAAACCCTAAACCCTAAACCCTAAACCCTAAACCCTAAACCCTAAACCCTAAACCCTAAACCCTAAACCCTAAACCCTAAACCCTAAACCCTAAACCCCCAGACCATCAAGCAAGGGGTATTGGGGTTTCTGAGTTCTTATCGACCTTAGGTTGATGTCCGAGCTTTAGGGCAATGGTTCAGGGTTGCGGTTTACGGATACCCTCAACTGTCAACCCGAGTTGTCCATCAATGTTACTTGAACACGTATGGAACGGCATGTGTCCCCTTTTCCCTGAAGCTTCAACCCGAAATTTCCCTGCACTGCGGGTTTGCCAGTCAGAACCTAAACCCTCTGTTGATTTGGGGGTTTACAAGAATCAGGGACCCCTAACATAAACCCCCAAGTAGTAGGATTCCCTCACAATGAGGACCCCAACACGGTACCCCTAATTTCGGAAACCCCCATTTGGATCGCAGGCACCTAGACCGCCTCCGTGCGCGCGTTGCCGCGAGCGCCAGCCTCCGCAAGGGCCACACCTTCGGAGCCTTGGCACGCGATTTTAGGGGGGTTTAGGAAGGGTTTACGTGGGGGTAGGGTTTAGGGTTCAGGGTTCAGGGTTGCGGGTTGAGGTGTTAGGGTTCAGGTTTTGTGCTCTTCAGATTTTTTGGGCTCCGGTCCCCATGCAGAACCAAATGAGCCCCCAAAGCCCAAAGCCGAAACAATGGACTGCCAAACCCCAGCTCCAGGGGGGAACACCCCGGGCTTAGGGTTTAGGGTTTAGGGTTTAGGGTTTAAGGGTGAGGCTCTATATTTTGCAGAGTTTGGATCAACCTCCGCATCGGGTCCACGAGCATATTCCGTAAAGTCAAACTAGGATCCCTATGACAAAGTCAGGGAATACCCAAAACCCTAAACCCTAGACCCTAAACCCTAAACCCTAAGCCAAGGGACAGTGGAGTCTTCGGGGCAAACGGTTTGTCTAAGGGTAGTTAAATATGGGCCCTTCATATGGTCCCTCATGGGCCCTTAGGGTTAGATCTGTTTTTGGTTCTAGAGGATGCTAAGCATCGAGCTCGCGTGCAAGGTATCACGCAAGAAACATACGTAGTAAACACGCACTGTGGGTTGTATGGGGCAGATAATCTGGGTATATAAGAGGTCCCCTGGGCGGGACCCTAAGAGTTTGGGGTTTAGGATGTGAGGTTGAGGGTTTAGGGTTGCAAAGGGTTTTCGGTCTTCGGGTTGAGGATGTATTTTAGCTAAAGGGGTATGGGTAGTTGCCAAAATGGGGGGGGGGGGGTGGAGGGTACCCCCTGGTGTACCCCCAAAGACTACAATCCTTATTCTCGGAATCCCCAAAAAGGGTACCCCGATTTTCAGACCCCATGAACAGCACGTTTTTACCTCTGTTTGAATGGGGAGCCTGAGCCGAAGCGACCACACTTCCATGTCTGAACAGCCAGGGGGTGGGCGAATTCTCTTGACAAAAGGTTCCTTAGGGTTTAGGATTTAGGGTTTAGGGTTTAGGATTTAGGGCTTAGGGTTTAGGGTTTAGGGCTGAGATCAGAGGATCTCCCCGGGCCCTAAACCTTACAACCCCTGAACCCAGCAGTCGGGTTAGGAGCTTATAGCTGACTCGAGACCTGAGTGGACCAACAAGCGTAAGACCTAAACCCTAAACCCTTAAGCCGAAACCCTAAACCCTCCCCTTCCCCTCCAAGGCCGCAAAACCCAATAGAGTCAGGGTTTAGGGTTAGGTTTAGGGTTTAGGGTGTACTGTACGGTTTAGGGTTTAGGTTGGACTCAACCCTAAACCCTAAACCCTAAACCCTAAATCCTAAACCCTAAACCCTAAACCCTAAACCCTAAACCCTAAACCCTCAACCCTAAACCCTAAACCCTAAACCCTAAACCCTAAACCCTAAACCCCAAAAGCAAACATGTCACGATGCGAGGTGAGGACTATGGTCTGATCCTGCGGAAGCCGAAAGGATGACTTCGGGCGAAGACAAAGAAAGAAATCAATGGACTTAGTAAGTGTGGGTAGGGTTTAGGGTTTAGGGTGTAGGGTTTAGGGTTTAGGGCTTAGGGTTTAGGGTTTAGGGTTTAGGGTTTAGGGTTTAGGGTTTAGGGTTTAGGGTTTAGGGTTTCGGATTTAGGATTTAGGGCTTAGGGTTTAGTGTTTTGGGTTTTGGGTTTTGTGTTTCGGCTTCAGGGTACTGCTTTTTTAAGACCCCTGACTTTCCAAGTGCGGTTGCGCCCCCTGGGTTTTGGGACGCTTTTTCCCGAATGCTCCGCAGAAGGGTTCCCGTTTTAAAGTTGGGCTGGGAGGTTACCAAACGTCGTTGCGCTGTGTCCGCAAAGCGTCCGCAAAGCGTCCGCAAAGCGTCCGCAAAGCGTCCGCAAAGCGTTCGCAAGCGTCCGCAAGCGTCCGCAAGCGTTCGCGAGTGGCGTAACGCGTGCTGTTAAGGGGGAAGTCCACAGGACGCGCACCGACGCGGCGTTCCGTAGCGTTCCGAATCCGTCAAGCTAAGGGGGAATTCCACAGGATGCGCGCCGACGCGGCGTTCCGAGTGTTCCGAATCCGTCAAGCTAAGGGGGAATTCCACAGGATGCGTGCCGCCGTGGCGCTGCGCGGCGTTCCGAATTGGCGTGCCGCGG